CTTGTGTTAAGTGCAAAGCTAGATTAAGCAATGATTCAATGTCAAATCTAATGGACTTTGTGGCATATATCAAATCATGATAACCTTGGGCAAGAACGTGTCCATACATATTTATCCAAGAGATATTGTACATGGCATCTAGTTCATCAATTTCAATATTCTACTATGTATACTTAGCATCAACCAAATGTTCAAATACAAACGAATGTGATTGCATTATTTGAGAATCCAAAGAGATATTGTCGTGGATGGTCCTATATGAACAATCTCAAATGAACAAAGTTTCTACGCTTTACAAATCATCTACAATTACTTGAAAAGAGTATACATCAATTTATATGAGATCTATATATCTCATCACAACTAAAATTGCTTGAAAGTCGTAGCTTGAAGACCTTTGTAGTATATGAATCATGAATGTTTGATGTCTTAACATGAGCTTAAGACCTGCTTCTTGCAGTCGAAGAATAGTATCCACTAAACATTGTCCACATAATGCAGTTCACGACTCTGGAAACACTACATATTCTCTAGCTTAGCTTTTTTGTTTCTCTTCTTGTTCACAAGGTAGGCATTACGGGAACGTAGACAGGTCAGTTGTAATAATACGAGTCCCTGACTCTTGTTCCACTGAAGAACAAACAGAAAAACTAAATAAACTTGTGAGAAATGTTATGGTATGAAAAACAAATTCAGTTCTTGGGCTAAAGCTTGAACCTTGAATTCATAAGGCTGCTTCTTTGCCCTTGCTTTCTTCTAGTGGTACTGCTCAACCACTTATCATGATAACTACCATATTGGAGAGTAAGAGAGAATCACACAAAAAACCATACTTTGGATCACAAAAATCTTGACTTACAGATCTATACCATTTTTCAACCACCAAACTACCATATCAAAGAGCACAAAAATCTTGACTTACGGACCTATACCATTTACAGATCTATACCAAAAAATGCTCAAACTCGAAGGATGTCTCTTACAATCTGGAGAAAAATAAAAGAGATATTGATATTTTTATCACAATCATTACGGATCATGAATCATGAAGATCTCTAGAGATATTTTATGAATCATTCAGTTTCATTGAAACGGCAGCTTGAAGACCTCTTGAGATATCAACAAAAACCAATTGGGAACCATACACTCGGATTCAGGGAGCATTCAAACACAAAAACCCAAAAATCTAACTTTAGAATCCGATTATTTGAGAGAGCGAACAAATATTATTGGAGAGAACGAAAGAGAGGTACTTTAGTGGTTAGAGAGGAGAAGAAGAAGTCAATTGATCGGAAATTGGTAGTCTGAGGACACAAAGGTTTTAAATTAGACAATTTGCAAGTAGAGATTGAGATCAAACATTGAATTTTCCGATAATCGAATTGAAGTGTCAGACGGCGAGGCATTGTTGGGGTGAGCAACAGATACAACGACTGAAATGGTTGTAAGCGAGACAAGATCGGTTGAAGCTCAGTTTCACGATTCGCAAAAGTAGATTGACGAGGAAGAAGAAGATAGGATGAGAGAGAAAGAGCAATCCGAGCCACACATTTTCATTAAACAAAAACTTAATCCAACGGCCATAAAACAATCAATACTTATTTTGATCTTACAATTTCAACCGCACATTTTCATTAAACGAAAACTGAAAATAACGGCCATGATCAAGCAGTGAAAATCGCTGGTTTGGTTTTATTATGGGCAATTTGGTCAAATCAGATCTCAAAAACATGAGAAAGTGTTCAAAGAATAAAATGTCCCAAATAAAGTGTCCGCTATGTAATTATTCAAAACAAAAAAAACTCTTTTCCTTTTTTCCAAAAAATTAATTTTACCATAGTTTTTTTTTTTTTATCATACCACTATGTCGTATAAAGAAATTAAAAAAAAAAACTAGGGTAATCATGACATAAAGTTCCATATAAATATACATAAGTAAGTTTTGTTTCATAT